AATCATAACACTGACCTATGCAATTTTTTATGTCTAGGCCAAATTCGTTCTCCAAAGTGAATAATATTTTATCTTTCAGTGCTTCCCCAGTTATTCCTGTGTCACAGTGTATGAACTTCATAAATCTTTCTTGAATGTTACCTTCATGATCTACATAACATAAAACAAGAGGCATCTGTTCTTTATTTGAACAATCAGTTACCTCATCAGCCGAAATAGAAAAAAACTTACATTCTTTAATTTCTCTGATTATTTTTTCTTTTAAAATGGCAGCAGAACAAGATATCAATTCATTCTGTATAGTTTTAGACCTGTATGTTGCATTCCGTGGAGCACTGGCAAAATGATCTTGTAGAGCTTTATCACCACTATCCGCCCTTAGGTCTAAAAGAGCTTGAAAATTACCACAATCCTCTGTTTCATAGTATGAGGCATCATCTCTATGTCCTCGGAAAGGCAGTAGCTGACGGCCACAAATCAAAACAATCTTGGCAATTGAAACCAACTTCTCTCTATTTTGAAAAACCACTTTATTACGAGATTCATCATATATCTGTTCAATTGGCTTGATTTCATTTTCCATCACATCAACAAAATGCTGCATAGTAATGAGAGAGGTTTTGTGGATTTCAGAATATATTTCATGTTGTTGGAATCGACGTGCAGCACAAGACCAATCAGTAAGAGAGCTATTAATTTGTTGTGTTGCTTTCTCAGCATTGAAACCAACTTTTCTATGAAATAGAATGCATGGCAGGCAGTATGCTCCATCAAAGATTTTTGAATAGGTCAACCAAGAAAACCTTTTCAGCCAATTAGGTAGAAACTTTCTTTGCTTTCCATAGAAAACTCGAGAGAGAAACTCAAACTCTTCAACAGGCTTCCAGACATTTAATATAATATCATATCTCTGACTGTCATCTAACTTTGAGACTTGGGCAAAGATAGATCCAATATCATTTACATTAAAGGGCCACCCCAGCCCAAAAATTATTTCTGAGATTTTTCCATAAATTGGTAGCTAGTCGAGAAAAAGAAGCTATCGTGAAATTTTTTTTCAAAAATCTCTACCCGTTTTCCAGATATAGACGCTCAAAGTTGAGAATCACCGTAAAAAGACGACAGAATTTTTTTCGGAAAAAGCACTTTGTGACGTGTGAAAGTGCTATTGTTTCAACATTCGGCGCTATTGTTATACGTTCGCACTGAAATTCGCATGGCTCATTAGGGGCTCGGTAAGGGCAATTTCACATCGCTGTTTCGGAGGTCGATCGAAAGCACACATGCTGCATGATTTCTGTCTTTTGATAGTTGAAGTCATTAGTCGACAGATGCATTAGCTCTACTCTCAAATTTTACGTGCTATTATTGCGATATTCTGATTTTCATTTTCGTTTTTTGTTTTTATTACATAGTTGACTAAGTTTTTTTTCCTTTTTATTATTTTTTATTGTTTATTCGAAATGCCGACGAGGTGTCTGGTGAAGGGATGTGGCCAAGTTTCCATGCCACGGGAAGTATCGTTGTTTGAATTTCCAACTGAAGAAACAACTCGTACAGCTTGGGCTGATTTTGCCGGAGTTGACTGCCTCAGCTCCTTGAGTCGCAATTCTCGAGTCTGCAGCAAACATTTCAAGAAAGAGTGCTTCGCGAATTACGCCATGTGGACAAATGGTTTAGCATCTAGACTGTCTCTGTTACAAAACGCCATTCCCACATTTTTTTTATCTGGCCACTTGGAAGCACCAGAAATCATGGATGTAACACCCACTGTAAATTACCAACCACACGCTCGCGAAATCGGAAAGAAAATTGCAACAAGCTTTGCCAATACTTTCAATTTGTTGTATGTACCTTCCTATTATATTTTTTCAGATGCCTGATAATGTTCTGTTTTTCATTGTAGCTTCACAGAAGACGATTTGGTCAGTGAAAAGAAGTTCATTGTCTTCAAAAGCTGTTTGTGGAAATTGTTCACTACTTGTCCTTCATGCAATTCAAACTGTACAGTTGAAGAAAAACTACAGACTGGAACACAGGTGTCAATACTTCAGTCATGTAGCATATGTGGATACACCCGAAACTGGTTGTCCCAGCCAAACTATGGTCATACACCTGCTGGAAATATACAGCTTGCTGGAGCTATTTTCTTCAATGGTTCCTCTTGCAGTAAAGTCCTAAGAACTTTGCAATCTATCAACATTGCATCAATTTCTGAGTCTACTTCTTATGAGCATGCATCCAGATATTTGCAACCCACAGTTTATCACAAATGGAAATGTGAACAAGAGAATCTGTTTCAACAGCTATCACAAATGGAAGGTGGATTAGTCTTGGGCACCGATGGAAAAGCAGACTCTCCTGGTCATAGTGCCAAATATGGTTTGTATCAGTGGCGAAGCCAAAGGTCCTGCTTGTCCTGCCGGGCAGGACCACAAATTTCCAAAGATAACAATTTTTAAAAAATATTAAAAATTGATTCACTTTATGAAATCATTATATGCCTGATTCAAAGGCATTTCTTTTCAAAGGTCTGTTTCAAAGGTCTTATTCTACACTATTCTACTTTATTCTAAATTTAATTTCAGCAGTTCGTCCTCCTGCCTTAAACAGGAACTACCATACAATTCAGAGGTACCGATGAAAAGGACGCTTTGTAAAGGATGAAAAGGAAAACAATGGTAATTACTGGGAGCTTTTGTACTCGATGACTCAGATTGTATTGTACTGGCAAAATGCCAGGGGTCTCCTCTGATATTCAAAACAAATTGATTCAAGACCCTATCTACCGTGCATCAGACATATCAATGTTGTGACAAAATATTCTTACTTTTTTAAAATAATTTGAAAGAATTATGTTTCCAGTATGTATTACAACTGTATATGCCTATAGGATATGTACAAGCAATTTCTTTTTAGTCAATGATTTCAAAATTGTCAATCAATGAAAACATTTTCAAATGTCATTTATTTTAGAGAAAATTTTTTATGATGCTCTTTTGACTTTTTTAATGTAAGGCAGGAGGAACTTGAAAGGATCCGAACCTTCATCCCCTATGTGGCAGTGAAAAATGTTTCACTGCAATCTTGATTTCAACACATCCAGAAGGGCGTTTCCCCCTTTTCCGAGGGTCTCTAGGGCGTGGCTTCAAGCGATTTTTCTGGGGCCGTAGCCCCCAGACCCCCTCTGCGCAGGACCACCTGTTCTTGGTTAGCTTCGCCACTGGTTCTTATTCGGTACTTGAAAAACGAATAAACAAAGTTATTGATATCCAACTAGTTCAGGTACAACATGTTGTCAGGTCATTTTTTTATAATCACTAATAAATGTATGTTCTCCTTTCTCAAATATCATAACAATCAATCAATTTGCATTATACAAAATTTCCTGTGGTGAGTCTATGCTGTGGTGAATCTAGTTGTTTGCATTAAACTTCAGAGAAAATATTATTATTTTTCTATAATTCAGTGCAATGAAGTTGCCAATAGCAATGCAATGGAGAAGGAAGGGCTTATAAGATCCTGCAACCACATTAAGAGTTTAGAGCTCAAAATTGAAACACTCATCAGTGATAGGCACCTTCAAATTCAGAAGTGGATTCGGGAAAATCTGCCAGAAGTGACACACTATTATGATGTTTGGCATGTTGCCAATGGTAAGCAAAGACCCATTAGATAAACACAGCCATGCAGTGGTATAACCGGCTAAAGTTACCTCAAGTTTAAAAACTAAGGGCCCCCAACCTTTAGGGGCCCCAGAAAAAGTTTTCTCTTTGTTATTTTACTTTGAAGCTGGCATTTTTGCCGAGATAAATGAATTCAAGGGATCCCAAGCCTGTGCGATATATCAGTTGAAATGAATGGAAAGTCTGTTGATTACCATTCTATGTTTTGTCTAAATTGTTTTTCTAATGCTTAGAACCGGGGGGCCCTAAGCTGGGATAGTCCTAGGGGCTCCAACTACCTCCATTACCCCCAACTAGGGTTAATTGCACAAAGGGGAATGTTGTTAATTGAAAGTAATTCTAAGAATAATTTTATTTTTCAAAGGCCCTTTTTTAAAAAGTTAGAATTCATTTCATATGCACTGGCATGGTTATTAGTGTGGTTTATCTAAGCTCTATTGTTCTAGGATTCAAAAAAAAGCAACAGCTCTTTCAAAGCAAAAAGGATGTGAAATAATTGCAGGATGGATAAAAAGGATGTCAAACCACATTTACTGGTGTGCATCAACAAGTTCTGGTGGTGACGGTGAATTGATCCTTGCAAAATGGTTGGCTTTTATCAATCATATGCACAACATTCATGAAGATCATTCTGACCAATTCCCATCCTGTGAACATGGTGACCTTGGTGAGGCTGGCAGGTTGAAGAAATGGCTGAAACCAGGTAGCATATCATTTATGAGAAACATTTCTATTTGACATAGATGTCTCATTCTGAATTATATATTAGAGTTTTATTGTGCTTCTTTCACTGCCCTTCTGTTTTACTGATCTTCCATTTAAAATGCACAAATGACTTGATATTTACACTTGTATTTACACAGATATTCTGTCTAACAGTAACTGATACTAATGCAATAAATAATTAATTTCATTACTCAAGTAATTTTGAATATTCAGGTACAACTCCATCAGAAAAAGCTGAACAGTTGATCAGAGATAAACATCTATGCAAAAATATCCAGAAGCTGAGTCCTTATCACCAAACCTCTAATGTTGATGCTTTCCATTCCCTTATCCTGCATTTTTGTCCTAAAATGACTCCCTTCAGTTTTAAAGGAATGTTATGCAGGTTAGTTTTCTACACCTTATTACTGATATTGTTGCAATTTGGGTAAAAATGCATTACATATATTTTAACTGGAAAATACTGTACGAGTTGTAACAGTGAGAAACATGGAAAGTAATCTCAGCACTTTTGTATCACATTTACAGACTGCTTTTAGCTGCTCTGCATTACAACGAAAATAGTGACAGGCAACAAGCAACAACAAGTGATGGAAAACCAGCCTTTGTAATCTAATATCCAAAGTACAAAAAAGGTGGCTACATTGTTAGAGCAAAGAAAACTCCACCAACATATGGTAAGCAGTAACATTACACAACTGATTGCAGTGTTTGTATTCCTTTACCCCATAATCTTATCAAAGTTGACAAAATATGAAACTTTGCTGTATACTTTTTGAAAAGTGATCACTTGCCATATATTACTATTATTTGTATAGGCTATTAGAGAAATTGATCTGATTATTATGATTAGCAAAATAAAACTGCTTGCAAACTTGAATATTTTACTTTAATTTTACTTTTTCTCAAATGCCTACTCCAAAAATATATGTTGTTTAAAGTTTTAAGTATTTTATTCTATTGATGGTATTTTTTCAGAATACATTGAAACATTGATGAAGACATTGTGTGACCAAGTCATATTTAATAGCACCCCATTTCAAGAAAAAATTGCTAGCATAATACAGCCAGGTCCAATGTGTGAAAATTACAAGCACCCTCCTCATGAAGAAGCTACTGCTCAGTATTACAAACGCTTTAACATTTGAACGGAGAGTGGCCAAATTCTGTCATTGGCAGAATCTGGAATGGGGAAATGGACACCTCCATGCCTCCACTTGTCTGGGTGGTCACCTTGGGAAAGTGATAGCACACCTTTATCCTCCCTGCCAGGGTAACGGTGCAAATGCAAGATGAACAAGAAGACAAAAAATATGTTTAAACCCAACTGGATCATGATAAAGCTTGTGTAGCCTATACTTTTTTCTCATTTGCCACTTGTTGATGTTAAAGGAGGAAGATGATAATTACTGGTAAAGCATTTGGGCCCTTACAAGAGAAAAACTAAGCATTGCACTATTGCCAAAATAATATCCCTGTCAGGCTGGATTTGGATATATACCTTCACAATGACTAACTATTAACTTAATTCCTACCACATAACCCCACCCCCCCCAACTTTTTTAAAACTCTTTCTCAATGTAAAACTCTTTCCCCTCTTTGATCTGGCTTTTTAATTAGTTGTGTTATCACCTTTGATTGCAAAAGTGAAGGGAGGGGCAATTAATTTGTAAGCAGATCAGAGAAGAAACTCAAAGTCAATAAAATGGGATCTTTCCAGAGGGGAGATAAACAGGAAAAAATCTATATTCTAAGGTCTTGGTAAAGACTTGCCCTGAGATTCTTATATGATAGAATCCTTGGTCGAAGCTTCCTTATAGTTTGGCCAAAGTCTTGTGCTTACAGGTTTTTGTTCGGTAAAGTCTGCAGCTAATTTGGTTCGTGATAGTGTATTTACACTTTGTCTGAGCAGGAAAAAAGGAAGGCATCTGTGCTGTTTAGAAGATAGGATTAACTTTCAATAGAAAAAGTTAACATGATCTCGAGGTGGATGGTATCAAATAATTTTCAATTGCAATATGTCAGTAATCTAAGTAAACTAAATATGTTTTCATTGATCAACATTTTGAATTATGCTTGTTTATTTAAAGTGCACCTACACACAAAATTTTTTTTTAAAAAAATGAAAAGTTCTTTATTTACTGAGCTTATGAGAAAAAAACAAAATTGAAAAAGACCGTATAATTGCGGAGTTATGGGGTTTTGTATAGTTGGGAAAGTGTTCCAATTTTACGCGCAGCGTCCGAGTGACTGATGTCGTCTACCCAGTAACATGCTGATAAAGAGGTCTTGTCCCATCGTTAGCTGCTGGTGTTGTCGTCTGAGAGATACATACATGAACGTTTCGCTTCTCCGGAGGTATGTAGCCAGGGCTGCACTAACCACCGGGCCCAGGGGCCCACAACCAGTTGGGGGCCCCAAATTTTCTGAGGGATTTTTAAAATAGTTGTGGAAATGGAGTTTAAGAAAACGGACCTTTGTGTTAGAGAAACTAAGCAAACATCATGCGGTCCATAATGAGTATCACAGCCGACGTGTTGGCATTAGAATATGTGTTAATACTCTATGCTTTATTCTGCCTTTGAGAAAGATATTTCCTGTTTATTGTTCAAACACAAAGCCTAGCAAAACTTGCCACTGACTCTTCTTTTTTGAGAAAACTAATTTTTGGCTTGTCTGCATGCACACTTTACGTTTTCAATATGAGTGAAAGATATCCTAGTTGAGCAAAAAAGAGGAAATTGAAAAAAGTTCGTGAAGCATCGAATGAAAAGGTTTTGAAGTCAATCCCACAGCTATCAACCTTTGGGTTTAAACCTGAAGCAAGAGATGCCCAAAGAGAATCGAATTCCAATCAATCTAGTGAGAAATTAGACAAAGACGATACTAGCCTAGGTTTTGACAATGATACGTCGGATAATTCTGTTAATGAGGCCGTAGTTGATCCAGATGAAAAGCATGGTGGAAATGGAAATGCCGATTCCAGAGAAGGCACTAGTGTAAATGAAAATGGAGTGGAAAACGAGCAAGGCTTGCAATCAGTATCAGAATTCGAAACCGATTCATCTTGCTGGACTTTCATTTCCTTGGAAATGAAACGTTACTGGGCAGTACATGGACCAAAACAATGCCAAAACAGAGATGTATCATTTTTCAAGTCAAGTCGACAATACAAAGTGAATGATAACAAAATGAAAACAAGGTGCTTCAGTGCTTCTTTGCTGAAGAGAAAGTTATCAAATGCTGAATAGATTCACCGAGATTGGCTTTTGTATTCCCCAAGTTCGGGCAAAGTGTTCTGCTTTTAATTGTAAACTGTTTGGAGGGTCTACCACAACAGCTTTAGCAAGCTCTGGATTTGATGATTGGAAGCATCCTGAATCAATTTCCCAACACGAGAGGTCAGATGCGAATTTCGAAAACGTGAAGCATGTACAGCATTTGCAAATGGGGAATGCTGGTTAATTGAATCACAACATATCAAACTTCTTCAACAAGAAGAAGAACGTTGGAAAGGTGTTATTATTAGAGTCATTGAGGCTGTTAAATTTCTAGCTGAACGAGGATTAGCATTTCGTGGAGATTCACATGTTATTGGACATCCAAAAAACGGAAACTTTCTTGGTATTATTGAATAACTGTCCAAATTTGACCCATTTTTAGCGGACCATCTTGCTCGCTCTGGTAACAAAGGAACTAGAAAACCCTCATATTTGTCACAAAGAATCATGGAAGAAGTAATTTTGATGCTATCATCTGAAGTAACAAAATTAATTCTAATATCAATTTCTAACGCAAAATACTTTTTGATAATTGTTGACTCCACTCCGGACGTATCTCATATTGATCAACTAACATTTGTACTAAGATATATCGAAGATGGAGAGCCGGTGGAAAGATTTATCACTTTTACACCAATAAAGTCTCATAAAAGCGAATCTTTGACAACAGCTATCATTGAAACATTGAACTCGTTAAATCTGGATATTAAATATTGTTGCAGTCAATCTTATGACAATGCGTCAAACATGTCTGGAAAATAGTCTGGAGTTCAGGCAAGAATAAAAGAAATTAACAAATGTGCCCTTTATGTTCCCTGCACAAGCCATCCCTTAAATTTAGTGGGAAATGCTGCAGCCTAATGCTGCTTACAAGCAGTATCTTTTTTCTCAACTGTACAAGAGGTGTATACATTTTTAGCAGCCTCCACGCATCACTGGAACACTATGCAATCAAAGCTCTCCAAAAGTGAATTGGTTGTTAAAAAGATATGTGATACTCGCTGGTCTGCAAGACATGATGCTATAAGAGCATTAGTTCTGGCACCACGTTCTATAAAAGAAACTCTGGATGAAATTGCACTTGATGAAGATCAAACATTGTCCACTAGAAATGACGCAACATCCTTATCAGAAAAACTCGAATCTTTGGAATTTGCGTTGATGGCTGTGTTTTGGAATGATCTTCTAAAGCAAATACACATAAGTAACTTGTCACTTCAAACAGTGAGCCTGACGATGCCTTCTGCAATCAATCTATTGAACAGTCTTGAGCTATTCATTTCGGGGATGCGAAATAGAGAATAATACCAACAGTATCTTGATAAGGCCAAAACGTTTCTAGACAGCACCGAACAGCAATTCAAAGATGAAATGAAAAGAAAAAAGAACAGACCGAGACTGGCAGACAAAAGTGTAACAAAAGAAGTGGAGTTAGTTGGTGGAGAGAAATTTTACATTGGCACGTATTTTCCCATCATTGAGAGCTTACAAACAGAACTTTCCATGCGAAAAGCTAGCTATGATGTTATTGAACAGAGATTTGGGTTTATCTGTGCATTACGAACAGAAGAAATTTCAGAAGGGTGCAAGGCCTTGACACATGCATATCCAGGGCACTTTGATGATGATATGGAGCACGAAATGATGCAATTTTTCAATTATGCTAAGGAACCGCTTCAGAAATACATAACCAAAGTGAGAAAATGTGAAAAACAAACGCAAGGAAAAGAAAGAGTCAGCAGAGGGAAAGGAATGAAAGAGCAAGAGCTTAAAGAAATATCAACCCGGCAGTTTTTACTTAACCTTGTCAGGAATAACAATACCCAAGCCACATTCCCCAATGTTATGATCGCTTTGAGGCTATTGTTAACATTGCCTTGCAGTGTTGCCTCTGGAGAAAGAAGCTTCTCCATTTTGAAAAGAGTTAAGAACCAGTTTCGTTCAACAATGTCACAAGAAAGAAACGTGGCACTGTGTTTGATGGCATCCAATACGGATATTTTAAGAAAATTAGATGTTCAAAAACTTAGTAGAAAATTTGCACTTACTAAGGCAAAAAACACAAATTTTAGAACCTATTTACTTGTTTCTGTTTGCCTTTTTCGAGATTTGCTGTAGTTCTGTTTTGTTTGTTTTTAGTTATATAATAACCTAATCCATTGATCATATGCCTCTTTAATTCTGTCTGCAAGTATCTTCTCTCAGCACCTTTGGATACTTAGGAGGGGCCCATAACACCAGTGAGCCCAGGGCCCCCAAAGTCCTTAGTGCGGCCCTGTATTTAGCATGACTGGGACTGAAAGATCACAGCTGCATTCGAATACTGTTGATAGTGTTGTAGCCATTTTGAAATAGAGCAAAAGGATGAAAAGTCCAAGCCTGCGACGATAAAGGCTGACAATGGCCTGGTTCACCCATGCCCACCTTGATTGGAAGAGGTACTTGCAGATTCCTCGAAAACTGTACCAAAGAACCAGAACGAAATAATAAACGAACATGAATACTGAAGAATCGCCTTAACTAAGCTGTCAATGTTGTGGAATGGTTAGTATGCTTTATTTTACTTTGTAAACAACTTAGGGAAAAAAAGTTGTGCATTAGGCCTACAAGCTAGTTGACATTTTTATTGATTCAAATAGTTCCTAACTTTTAATTCCTTGATATTTTTGGTACGCTTAAGAAAGTCGCGGACCTGAAACTGACACCGGGGTCTGAAAATTCATAACTAACATTTGAACTTTCCTTTGCAATTTGGAATACAGAAAACAAAATTATATTTTTTCTTAGATTCTCTGAAGCAAGGCATGTCACCATTCAAGAATTGAGTATAATGTTATTGGCAAAAGAGAACCTCAGTGTGCCTTTCATGCCACACGTGGACAATTTAAAGTGTCAATGTATTTCAGGCACCGCCTGTATTTACTGGTTACAAAGATTTATGTATATATGCATTTAACGCAGTGTAGAATCCATGTAGCTTATACCGGTAAGAGTTATCCTGCCTAAAGTAAAGGTTCCTTACTACATTTCTATTGTTTGTTGGCGTATACCAGCATGGGTTCCACCATGATAACTTAAAAACTAGTGTCAGTTTTTCTCAGGGGGCATTTGTGGCCCTTCATTGGCACTTTGCACTTTCTGCATTTTGGTGCAGCTTTAGCTTTTCCAGAATTTTGGTCTTTTATTGCTGAAATGAAACAAAAACTGTTAACACCAACATAAAATTATTCACTTTGAGATAAAGTGAGATTGAAACAACTTGTTCTATTTGACTAACAACATTTGGCCATAAACCCCTAAATTGACCACTCCCTATAATAAATATTGACTGCCTACATAACAGCTTTAAATTGAGATTTTTAAAATGATAACCTTCTGAAACAGTTCCAGTAGCTGGTACATCAACAGTGATCATTTCCTTTCTTTTTTTGTGTTTCTCAATTGCATCAGCTTTGCTCTCTCTGTCCAGCATTCTGTTCATTGGAGGAATGATTTTCTCCTTCGTCTGTAGTGCTACTGCCTCTAACTCTTCCTTGGATGATTTTTTAAGAATTTGGTACAACTCATCAATGTATTCTAAACAAAGCAGAAATGTTAAATTGCTTAGTGCATGAGTGCACATATAAGTCGAAAGATTCAAGATTCATTCATTTCAAGTGTGGGATGATGCAGTCAGTTTCTTTACACTTACTACATACCATAATTCTGCTTAACCTGCACCCCCATAACTTTTGCTGCCCCATTTCTATATTTTGGCCAAGTAACTTTGACCCGCATAGAACAATCATGATTTTGACATCTGTCACGTTTCAAATTGTAATTAAAATGCACAGCTGCAAGAATATGCCTGCAAAAAAAAATAAACAGTATGAAAGTAACATAGCATTTCAGACAGTCATCAAATATCTTATCAATTGTATTACAGAAAAAATTGTCTCTAATATGTACCTGCAGACCATGCCAGTGTGTGAATATGCTATCATTTTTGGTGCAAACTGGTTTAAAACGGAGTGCAATCCTTCTAGGCAACTTGTTTGGCTTACTGGAGATGCTTTCTTTATTGCTTTAACCAGCAGCTTGTTAGTTATGATTTTTTTCAGCTTCTCATAAGCAGTGAATCTGTGAAAATTAAAGCAAAAAATTAATCCAAGTACAATGTAGCTTTATATCAAGAACAGATTTCAATAAAAGTGACCAGCCATAGGTAGCTAGCTAGTGTAGAACAAATTAGTTTTTGATTTATTTTGATATTAAACTGATCGATTCCTGAGGCTCAGAGTTGAAGCTGTTCGAATCTTAAAGAAAATAATAATCAATGTATCACCAACCTTTGTCTATCTATATGATACTGAGATCAATCAAAAAGGTAGAATGACTTATTTTCCATATTCTCTGTTATCAAATTGCCTAAGCTATAAGAAGCTTGCTTGCTGCTTGGAAAATATTGTTATATTGATAGTGATTTATTTAAGTATTTATCTACTTAAAAATATATTAGTTTAATGTGTACTACAATATGATTATTCTGTATTCTACCTTCAAATAGCCATTTGCGGGGCTCTTCTAATTCATCATGTGCGCATTTGTTAAACAAGGGATTATCAAGATTATTGTGCTCATAAATTATGTGTGATAGAAATGAACTGAATTTTGCCCAAATCAGATCTCCATCACCATTGGTGGTGGTTGTAGCACTCCAATGAAGATGATTGATGCACGGCTTAATCCACTCATTTATATCTTGGCATTCAGCTTCTTTACCCATCCTCAATAATTGCTTTCTTAAGGCTGAAAAACATAAGTCAAACTGCCATTATCAAGAAAAACATTGGAAAAACTGCAACTAAAATAACTCAAAATAATGACTAACATAGATTCAAAAAAATTATTTAGATATTTAGATACTTGTTTGAATTATAAAAGGGTAGGCCCTCTCTTGAAAAATCTTCAGAAGATCTAGCCTAAGGGTGTCAGTGTAGGGACTTTCAAGATCTGCTCCCCAAAATTGGCTCATGTTTATTTCACTATAAAAGGAAACAAAACTTTTTGATTGAAGTACTCCAAGTTTTGGACCATCCCTTTTGTAAATCTTGCACTAATGTACATTTAGCCCAGCAGCCAAAATTGTGGGTCAGTAAATTGTTACGAGAAATTGAGCAATATGTATGTGCCTGAAAAAGTACATTTCTTACTGCTTCTTACATTTTTGCAAATGCCACAAATCGAAGAAATAACTTATTTCACTGTACTCCGCTCTCATACATTTGGCAATGGAACAATGACGATCAGAAATAAATTTGGTGACACCCACTGATTCATTTTGTAAATATTCCATTGCCCTTTTAAAACCAAGGATCTCCATTCCAGTACTGTTCCCTGCCTCATTTCTCTATGGAGAAGAATTGAAAAATAATCTCCAAACAATGACTGAGAAACAAGTGTATAGGGTATCGCAACTTGATATTACCAATGCTAAAACTAATTTGTATGCCCTTGTTAAAACACAAAGTAATGCCAAAGAGGTACCAGGGGCTGGTATGGGGAATGGTTTGAATCTACCTGGACATCCTCAGAAATTACGGAATGGGAAAATTTAGACAGAAAAGATTGAAAATATTGGCAGCTTTGATTATCCTTTGAAGAAGAAGACGTAATAGAAGAAGAAGGACCATGTGGGTGAGGTCTTGGATTGGTCGAAGAAAAGAACAGGGTGCATTCAATAATTTGGTTTCAGAACTGGAACAGGAAGATAGAGCAATGTATCGACGCTTCTTTCGTATGAACGAAACAACATTTCAATTGCTCTTAAATAAAGTTCAGCCGATCATTACAAAAAAAGACACACATTTCCGGAAATCAATATCAGCAAAGGAAAGACTTTCAATCACACTTCGATTTTTAGCAACAGGTAAAATGGAATTACATCATTGTAACATTGTTTTAAAAATCATTTTAGAATTATATTTCAACTCATACAGTAATAGAATCAAGGACCGAGATACCGGGAGCCAGGGAGTGCTTGGCCCCCTAAAAAAACTTCAGTAGTATTAGTGAAGTACTTTTATTTTGTAAAATATGGCTGTTTTTACTCTTATTTGTCAGGGCTGCCCCCCCCCCCCAAACAAAAAGTAGTATCTTGGTCTTCGAATAGAATGATATTAAGGATAAAAAATTTCCAAAAATAATACAGATCATTTGAAGCAGAACGATTCTCATATTTCTGCCACAAATTATTTCACCAATAAAATATTTTGTGCATCTTTGTGCTAAACTTAAACAACTAATTGAGGTCATTTTTATTTCAGGAGAATCCTTTCACAGCCTTGCCTTTTCATTTCGAGTTGGTGAAAGGACCATCTCAGATATTGTACTGGAAACCTGTGGTGCTATTTACCAAGCACTGAAGAACAAGTATCTAAAGGTAACAGCTATTTACTTGTACAAAGTCATTTCTGGCATACTCATTTTTGTGTAAAATTGAAGGCCAAATTATTTAGAAACCGTTTTTGCCTTACATTATAGAAAACTATTTCTACATGTGCAACAAATATCTACACCATACCTTAAGTTGATTTGTAAAGTTGAAAGAATAATTATAGTTTTGTAAAAAAATATAATCAATGCATGGAAACCATGACTGCCAAACCAAATCTAAATATCTTGTTTTTTTAATGAGAGAATTTGAAAAGATGAAAAAATAATATCAAAAGTTTTCAGTAACTTGAATTACTATCCCTGGGTGAATTAACCATTTCAGGGAATGAAAAATTAGGCCTTGCACTGCTGTTTTGTGGGCTTAAAAATTGATGCTGGCTTGGAAAATATTGCTGGCCTGTCAAATTTCCTCCAATACCCATTTGTGCCTTAAACAATGCATTTTGGATATTGTTCATTGCAATCATGGCTGTCCGCTCATCCATTGCTGACAATGTTTGGCCAACATATTTACCAAAGGCAATACAAGGTGTGCTCTTTGGTGCTTTGGGGTCATCTTCCAATGACGATGCCAGCTTTTTCAACACTTCCATCTCCTCTTCTTCTCTCTTTCTTTTGTTGTTTTTCTCTTTCCTCATTGTTTCTGTTGGCTTCTTTGTAGATTTTTTCTCGGAAACAAAAGAAGCCTCTGTATTTTCATCTGCCTCTTCATCCTCCTCATTAAAAGATATTCTTTCTGAATCATCAACATCATCAGTTTCCTGAAATTAAAACAAATTTCTTTTTAACTTTTCTTTCTTCAACTCCAGAAGAATGGAAGCAAGTAAGCAATGGTTTCGAATCAAAATGGAACTATCCCTTTTGCATGGGTGCACTGGACGGTAAACATATTGAAATCCAGCAGCCAAAGAATTCAGGATCCGAATATTTTAATTACAAAGGGTTCTTCAGCATATTGCTTTTTGCATTGGTCAGTCATGACTATAAATTTTTATACGTAGATGTGGGTGCAAGTAGGAAAAATGGTGATGCTGGAATTTTTGAAAGCAGCACATTAAAGAAAAAGCTAGACCACGACACTATTGGGTTTCCAGAGCCAGAAGAATTGCAAGGAACTGGGCTTCTTTGCAACTATCATCTTATTGGTGATAATGCTTTCCCACTCAGAAAAGATGTTTTGAAGCCTTTTCCTTTCAGACAGCTTGACTATGATCAACGTGTTTTTAATTATAGGCTGTCTCGAGCAAGACGTGTTGTTGAGAATGCCTTCCGTATTTTGGCGAACAGGTTCAGGTTATTTTTAACGAAAATTGCACTTGAACCAGAGAAAGTTAAGATGATTGTTATGGCAACATGCTGCCTTCACAATTCTCTTATTGATGAGCAACCATCATATGCAACGATAGCAGATCAAGAAAATGAAAACAATCGATTATTGGGAGGTTACTGGAGAACTGATCCTCAGCTGACCAATATGGAAAGGACACAGAAAAGAAATTGTTGCCTTAGCGCTAAGGGTCAGCGTCAATTACTGAAACATATTTCAATTCTGAATTGGGATCAGTACCTTGACAAAATAGAATGGTATCATTGAATAAAAAGTCGGCTTAAAATAAATTGTTTTGTTTAATGGGTAAATCTGCGTAGTTTCCAAACCTGCATGTTTGATATTGATAATTTATTCCCAACATGTTTGTTGAGAAATTGCAGTTTTTCTTCAAGCCATTGTACTCTCTTTGTCCTTTTTGGCCTTCCACTACTTGGCATTTTCTGAGAACGTACATATTGTGTTCTCAAAGAACGTATTCTTTTCTCCACATCAGCAGCTTCAAGGAAAATTAACATTGAACCATTAGGCAATATAACTTTCTCATGCTCCTTGGTACTCGTTTCAAAATCGCTAGTGTGCGCTAGGCTTAAGGTGGATGCAAGTTGCACATTCATTACTTGCTTCAATTGGCTCCTGCAAATGAGACACAAACTAGGGTTGTTTTCAATTTCAATGATGAGGGGTGGGGCAGTCACACCAATACTTTGGAGAACGATGGTCTTTTGTTCTAAAACAATGGGAAAATGTGACATCATCTTATTAAAACAATAGACTTGCCTCCCCCAATATTTGGCCAAGTGTCCGCGCCTGTATTTCAGCCCCCCTGAACCCACCTAGCACTACATCTCTGGACACAAAAGTGAAGGAATTATCATCTAATTTATACATGTGGATTTTGAGTTAATGTATTTGTTGTAATCTGCAAATTTGTTATAGCAAAAATTTGGCAGATTTGAATAATTGATTTAGCAAGAAAAGAGAGGGCATTCCCCATGGTCTTTATGTCATGGCTTCCAATGGTTGGACAACGTTTTTAAAAGCCATTTGAAAGAAAAATGTAACTACCATATAGTAATCGTCTTTGATTTCGTCTGACACTTCCGTTTGCTGAATACTGCTGTCCCCAGCGTCATCAGTCACTGAATCGAGTAAAGCTCTTCGCACTGTCTGCCATGAAAAACAAACAATTTCTAAATAAGTTTCAAATTTTAGGGTTATGCTGCCCTTCTCCTGGTTAAAAATATGATAGGTTGTTTTGTTTGAATAATTGATATACTTTTTGGTAAATTGATAAATGAATCTCACCATTCGCTGTTGTCGTTTTTTTGCTGTACAAGAGGGCCCGGCGACTGAGGTTGTAGTTTTGGGCACGGCATGGATGGTGGGTATCGCACAAACCCCTAGCTCGTCTCTGTTCAGCCTTTTAATAACTGCTTCGTCTAAGCCTTCCAAAAAGTGGTATCTCCTCTGGAAAGAATCAGGAGTGAAATGGGCAGAATACAATCTTGAAGCCTTTTGTTGGTTCCCATTTTGCTCACTTCGCTTTGACGAAGTCCACCCTTCTTTTGTGTTGGCAAAGTTGCCACATTTCCCTGCAACACTCCTGTTTTTTTTGTCTTCACAAATTTTTTTTTGAACGGGACGTTTGTTTGTTTACATGCGGAGACTGTTGTTGTAAGGAACGTGTTACTGGGTAGACGTCACAGATCAACAAGCGCCCGCGCAGCAACTGGAACGTTAATTCCACAAATTTCACAACTTTGAACTTTAATTATAGAAAGGTGAAATTGAATTTTCAATTTCCGACTGAACTTTTGTGATAATTGAAACCAATGCTTTCGATATATGAAAGAAAAATTTTTGGGTGCAGGGGGACTTTAATGATTCTTGCTTCTTAGGTATGTAAAACAAATTTTCTATTTTTGGTATTCAAGTATTTTTAATTCAAAAGCACTTCAGGAATTTGCACACCCTAAAACTTTAAATTCCTAAGTTATAATCGAAAGAAGTAGCCTTGCCACCTATAGCCTAGATTTACAGTAGTATCCACCTGAAGAGGTGCTGTCCTAAATACTTTGGAAGGGGGCTCTGCTTTAGGCAAGTTCAAGAGGACACACATCACAAGACTCTCTGTTGTATGTAGAACTCATTCAAACTATTTGATGACACAAAAAGACTGATAAGAAATTGCTCATTCATGAGGAATCTGTAGTATAAAGGGCTGCAATCACAGAATTTGTCCAACCAAATTTGAGCCCCCCAAACAAAAATCTGTCAGAATTTTAACAAGGTGGCTGAGACACCACCCCACCCCACCCCACCCACGTCAACACTGTCCCTCTGGGATAGGCAAATGGTATCAAATGAGTCTGAGACTTGTGATAAGGAGAAATGGGCCAAAAGCTGCAAGGAAATGCTTATTTCATACGTATTTGGCAAAGTTTGCAAGGAAATGGCTGCAGTGCTAAAAAGTGATCTGTATCTATCCAAAGCACTTTCTTTCAATGAAATTAATAGTCATTTGATGTGTTATTCTTGTATTAAAACTTACCAAGATAAGTCTGCCAACATCAACATTGCCACTGTCTCTCATGTCCGTATTTGAATCTGTGTTCGTGTTTAAATCTTCTTCCCGATATTCTGGCTCAAATTGGTAAGGTAACACCTTTCCATCTTGAGTCAGAATATCTGGAGAGCCACGAGAATCATCATCTGCTGATAGGGAATCTGGATAAAAGTCCAACATTCCGAGGCAAAGACTCGAACAGAAACTTTCCGTGTCGCTTGAAGTGCTGTCTGCCATTTTGAAACTTTTCGTACACGCTTTGGACAGCTGATGATCCTACCGTGAATTTAACCGAGGCCGAAAATCCGTGTGACGTCAATCCAAAGTGCTCCGATAATGGCATTTAAAAACAATTCAACTCAATGACCAATATACAAATGCTTATAACTACAAAACGGTAAGAGATATGAAAAAAATAATAGCAGATCCGTTTTCAGGAGGCAAGATTACATTGTAATCGAAAATAAAAGTTTTGGGCTGGAGTGGCCTTTTAAGCAAAGGCTGTAAATTGGAGATGTTTATTTTTAGAGGACTCTGCTTTAGGTTGTGATGCTGATTCATTTGCAATAGAACAAGGAATACTTAGCTGTGGGGATTCCTTTATGGTTGTTACTTTTGTAGCCACAGGAAGACAGAAGATCGTTGGTGTTCGTTAAATTTGTAGCCACTAGTTTGTCCGATGTATTGGCAGTTTTTGTTTATGTTATGTAGACAGCATTTGCATTGTAATGCGTATATAACGTTGGTGGAGTTGCAGTCCAGTCGTTGTTTTATGTCGTAGTTTTTGTCAGTGTTGGAAAAATTGAATTTTGTAGTCCCGTCTGTGATATGTTGGCATGTTAAACAGTTACGTCGTGAGTGGCATTTGTATGAACCTATGGGATCGCTGGGTGTGGTATTTTTAATTTTGGCACAAACCAGTAAATCCCGGAGGTTTTTCGGTCTGCGGTAACTAAGTATGGGTGCCTCCGGGAAGGCTTCTTTACATGTGTTAGAGTTTTGTAGTATGTTGAGGTTTTGTTTGAGTATGGTGGATAGCTGTGGCAAAGCTGGGTGGTAAGTAACAACAAATGGCGTGCGATGATTAGTGCGTGGTTTGGTGGTCTTGAGGCAGTCTTGTCTGGTTTTCTTAGCAGCCGTCTGTATTTGTTTGCTTGTCTGTTTGGGTTTGTAACCCCGTTTTGTCAAGTATTCCAATAGTTGTCTTGTGCGATATTTGAACGTTTTGTCTTCGGAGCAGATCCGTCGTAGTCTTAGGGCAAGACTGTATAGAATGGATTGTTTGGTGTGTTTGGGGTGTGCAGAGGTGCTGAGGAGATATTGGTGTGTATCTATGGGTTTAACATAGAGATCTGTAGAGAGGGTATTATCATTATTGATGGAAATAGTGACGTCAAGAAAATGTATGGATTTTTTGGATTGTTCTGTGGTGAATTTGATGGTGGGATGGGTGTTGTTGAGTGTATTGATGAAGTCTGTGAGTTTGTCTAGTCTGTGTGTCCAAATCATAAAAATGTTGTCGATGAAACGCCACCACACAAGAGGCTTGTGCAGGGCTTTGTCAAGGGCATTGGTTTCAAGGACTCCCATAAAGATATTGGCGTAGGGTGGTGCCATTCTTGTACCCATCGCTGTGCCATGTTTTTGTAGAAAAAAGTTTCCGTTGAACTCAAAGTTGTTATTTGTCAGTATAATGTTGATGAGGTTGCAAACAGTTTCTGTGGGAGGAGTTTTGGAGGTGCGTTCGTCGAGGTGTAACCTGGCAGCTTGGATACCTTCTGTGTGAGGGATGTTGGTTTATAAGGATGATACGTCAAGGGTGACAAGGAGAGAGTCGTTGGGAAGTGTGGAGATGGAGTCGAGTTTGTTAAGAAAATGTGTGGTGTCTTTGATGTAAGATGGCAGTTTGGAGACCAGTGGGTTTAGGATGTTGCTGACGTATTCTGAGATGTGCTCTGTAGGATGGCCATTAGCTGAGACAATGGGTCTACCAGGGGGGTTGCTGCGGTCTTTGTGGATTTTAGGTAGAATGTAGAATCTGGAGCATGTTTGTTGTTTGGGTGATAGGTAGGTAAATGTTTCTTCGTTAATGTGGTTGTCGTTTTTCATCAGTCGTAAGTAATTGGTCACTTTTCTCCTAACTTTGTTGGTTGTATCTTTGTCTTGTTTTATGTAAAAAGTCTTGTCGTTCAGTTGTCTGTTGCATTCGTTTATGTAAAACTGCGTGTCCATGACTACGACTCCTGAACCTTTGTCGGCGGGTTTGAGGACGATGTCAGTGTGTCTGGTGAGGTTGTGGGAAATTGTGAGCGCTCCTTCCTATCTATCTATCTCTCTCTCTCTCTCTCTCTCTCTCTCTCTCTCTCTCTCTCTCTCTCTCTCTCTCTCTCTCTCTCTCTTTCTCTCTTTCTCTCTTTCTTTTGTATTAGTTGTTGCTGTTGCGATTGCATTCAGTTGAATAGAAGATTTCTTGCTTACGAACTCGAAGGGAACAACGTGAATTATATCTCAAAAAGAACTCTTGATAGATGCGAACGCCAGTCACGAGGAAAGAAGATCGATGGGACGATTCACGTAAAGAACAATATTTAGAATAGAACTAAATCAAGACCTTGATGGACCGAGGTGACAACGTTAAAATTCTTACGTTATTTCTTCTCTCTGGACGTTAATTCTTCTCTCTGATTAATAATTCGTGGTTGTTTATGTCATTATATTCGCTGATGTTTATACTTTATCTTGCATATAAATTCGAATAAGAAATTATACAGTCCTCTGACTTTGATATAGAATTTGATCTTCAAGACGAATGAACCTATATGGTAATTCTAACCTGCCAAGTAAATAGATCTTAACTATTTACATCTTAGTAGTGATTCCTGGCAGGTAAATCTCTAAATGGTCCACCGAGACGGATTTTGATATCTATTTTTCATGAATCTCATGATATTTCTCGACTCTTTCTGAATTAGCTCTCTGTTTGTGTTTATTTCTTGTTTGCGTTGCGCCTAATGGCAACTCAAGGTGAAAGCGCCACAGTTTCCGAAGCTACTCCTCGCGACCCTTCTCGAGGAAATCCTGTTTCAAGGCTAAAAAGAATTCGAGGAGGATATCGGGCACATGTAACAAAAACGTTTTCGGAAGCAAGGATCCTTTTAGAAGAGGAAGTTTCTACCGTTTTAAATGTTGACAAAATTCTTACGAAATTGAAAGATAAAGAAAAACTCTTGAGTGAAATCGATAAAGAAATTTTTCTCTTAATTTCTGAAGACGAAGTGGAACAAGAAGTAATTGACTGTGAAGATTTGAAATCCGAAATACAGTCATTTGTTATTGAACTTGAAGCACGAAAGTTGGAAATTTCGACATACAATTATGGTTCTCAAATTGCTCAAGCCACTAGCCCTAGTCCTTCGTTTGCTAGTTCTGATATGCCAAAATTGCCAAAACTTCAATTGCCAAAATTTTCGGGAGATCCAAAAAAGTGGCAGGAATGGTGGGACTCTTTTCAAGTAATCCACGAGAATGCTTCTCTTTCAGACGTGAATAAATTTCGCCATCTTAAAACCCTGTTAGAAGGCCCAGCCGCCACTGCCATCTCCGGAATTCAGCCAACTAACGCGAATTATAGCGATGCAGTTGAACTATTGCAGAATAGATTTGCTCAAAGGCAGTTAATAATAAATGCGCATATGGAGGTTCTGTTGAATCTGAAACAAGTTTCATCTGAAGGGATGTAAGGGGATTGAGAAAACTGTACGATACAATTGAAACGAATACGCGCAGTCTTAAAACTCTTGGAGTTGATTTTCAGCATTATGGAGCTCTATTGATTCCAGTTATAATGTCAAAAATTCCGGAAGATATTCGCTTTGCAATAACTAAATCTCAGGGAAAGGATGAATGGGTGCTAGATAAACTCTTAGAAACTTTTCAAACCGAATTAGAAGTAAGAGAACAATGTTCCGTTAAGTTGGACACGACGTATTCTCCAAGCTCACACGGCTTTGCGCCAAGACCTGCTCTCAACTCTATGCCTACGGCCGCTGCACTCTTGAATAACGGGGGCAAAGTCACTTGCACATTCTGCAAGGGGTCCCACCCTTCAGCGAGATGCACTGTGGTGTCCGAACCTAATGCGCGTAAAAACGTCCTTTCAAAACAAGGAAGGTGCTTTGTTTTTTTAAAACAGGGACATTTGTCTAGAAATTGTTCTAGTCAAATCCATTGTTTCGTATGCCGACAAAGACAACATGCCAGCATTTGCACTACGCAAAGAAATACCCCCAGACAGTTCGACACGCCAGAGGCACAGCCAGAATGGAACAGCAATATATATGGGAATTCATAAATACGCAGAATTCAATCAACACCCACTGCGCAACAAAGGGACAATATTGGCCAGTCCACGGTTTCAATGTACGTCGATTCAAGAGGCTCTGTTCTTTTGCAAACAGCAAAGGGGTTTATTTCTTCCGTTAACAGGCCAAATTATCATAAAATCGCAAGAATGATTTTCGACTCAGGCAGTCAAAGATCTTATATTACAAAAGAGTTAAAAGATTGTCTAGGCCTGCCCACCATTCGAAAGGAAACCCTTGAAATTACACTCTTTGGGTCAGAACAAGGAAAAGTAGAGACTCTTGACGTCACACAATTTTGTGTAAGAAGCCCGTACAATGATTTAAGCGTGTATGTTACGGCTTATGTTGTACCAAAAGTGAGTGCCCACCTGACAAATCAGGCAATCAATTTCGCTTTGACAACATACCCGCATCTTTCAGGGTTCATGCTAGCGGATTACCCAGCTACAGCTGATGACGAATTGTTCCTCCACATTTTAATTGGTTCAGACTACTACTGGCAATTCATGACCGGCCGGACAGCACAGGGGGAGCAAGGAGGTCCAATCGGATTAGAATCTACCTTAGGGTGGATTCTCTCAGGGCCTATTCCAAACTGTCCAGAAGTTTCAAAAACTCAAACAAATTTGACACAGACGCATCTTTTGCGAATATCTGCTGAAGTCAAGCAGGAAAACTCTATGGAAAAAACATTAGAAACAGGATTATCCAAATTTCAAACAGGAAAACTCTATGGAAAAAACATTAGAAACAGGACTACAGAGGAAACTCTTTATGAAAATTTCAGCCAGGAAATCTCGTTTTCTGAGGGAAGATATGAAGTGAAATTGCCATGGAAGGCAAACCACCCTCTGTTGCCAGACAATTACGCGCTCAGTAAACGCCGCCTCGAAGGTCAGTTCAGGAAGTTAAAGACCTCACCAGACCTCTTGAATGAATATGACGCAATTATCAAGCTACAAGAAGAACAAGGAATTATCGAAAGAGTGATGCCTACAGAAGAAAGTGAAGCAGGGAAAACGCACTACTTGCCTCATCACCCTGTTGTAAGAAAGGACAAAACCACAACAAAGGTTCGCGTAGTATATGATGCTTCTGCTGCTAACAGTACAGGGATATCATTAAACAGCTGTTTGTATCCTGGCCCGTGTCTGCTAAAAACAGTTGCAGAGATATTAATAAGATTTCGCGCAAACCCAATCGCCCTTATTGCCGATATCGAAAAGGCATTCTTGATGATTGCAGTTCATAAGAATGATCGAGATGTCCTGAGATTCTTGTGGTATCAGGATGTGAATAAAACTGATCTAGAGCAAGTGACATACAGATTTTGCAGAGTGGTGTTCGGGGTTACTTGCAGTCCTTTTTTGTTGAACGTGACGTTAAAGCATCACATTGAAAAGTATGCCGAAGAACACCCTGAAGTTTGCTCCAAACTAATCAGCTCTCTCTACGCCAATGACGTCAGTAAGGGGGGCCATAGCATTGAAGAGAGTTTCAAGTTTTATGAAATTTCTAAAGAGATAATGAAACAAGGCGGTTTTAATCTTCGAAAATGGCACTCAAATTCAGAAGAACTCACAGAAAAAATCGCAGAATTAGAGAAACAGCAACAATGTAAAGAAACAGATAAAGAAGTTGTTTTAGAAGAAGATGAATCATTTGCAAAGACAACGATAAGTGAGCCATTTGCACATAGAAATACACAACAAAAGATTTTAGGCCTAAACTGGGACAGTAAGGAAGACAACCTCATTTTCGACTTTTCACAGCTTGTCACAGTCTCAAAAAATGTATCTGTAACAAAACGAAGCGTACTTAGCCTAATTGCCAAGATATTTGATCAATTGGGGCTCATATCTCCTATCACTTCCATGTTAAAGGTTTTCATACGAAAGCTATTCAGGCTAAAACTAAGTTGGGACGAAATTCTCCCAGAAAATCTATTCAACGAATGGACAGCTATGATGTCAGAGCTCACTTAAGTTCACCTGATAGCAGTACCACGATATTACTTCAGAATTATTCAAAGCAAGCCGACAAAAATATAGCTCTTTGGGTTTTGTGATGCTTCATCAATCGCTTTTGCAGCACTTGTATATGCCAAAATCACATCTTGTGGACAGTCGTCTATACAACTGGTTTGTTCAAAGACGCGTGTTGCTCCCCTTGCTAAACATTTAATACCACGCCTCGAGCTTCTTTCTTGTTTGATATTAGCAAGGTTAATCAGCACTGTACAAAATTCATTCAGTCCACTTTTCAACATCGATATCATGCAATGTTGGACAGACTCTCTCGCGGCGAAATACTGGATAAAGGGTGTGAGCAAATATTGGAAACTATTTGTAGAAAATCGCGTCCAAGAGATTCGAAAGTCGGTCGACCCTCAGCTGTGGTCACATTGTCCAGGCAGCCAGAATCCAGCTGACATTCGGACGCGTGAAATGAATGTGGAGCTGTTCAAACAAAACACGATTTGGTGGAATGGACCAAAATGGCTTTTAGGTACTGAAAGAGAATGGCCTAATTCTTCAATATCGGACACGCTACCACAGGAGTGTTTGGATGAAATGAAACATCCGCAAAGGACTGAAAAAACAGCAGTTCTCAAGACTACGGTCAAAGCACCAAGTATTCGAAACTTCATTGACTACGATCGTTTCAGTGACTACCAAAAACTTCTCAGAGTTACTGCATACGTATTACGATTTATACGGAATTGCCGAAATAAAGTTCGCGGAAATCAAGAAGAGCTTTCAGTAGAGGAAATCAATGATGCAGAAATCATAATCATACATGAAGCTCAAGGCTCTTTCGACGAAGCCCATCTCAAGAAAATCGAGAACACTCTTGGCACATTTGTAGACAGTAACATGCTTATTCGTTGTGAAGGTCGTTTAAAAACTCAAGCTTACCCTTCGATAGCAGACATCCTATTTTGGTGCCGAGACATCACAAGATAACTAGTCTGCTCATTCTTAGTTGCCACGACAAGGTTATGCATAATGGCACAAAGGAAACTCTCGCCGAACTACGCTCACGTTTCTGGATCATTAAAGGTCGACAGGTAGTAAAAATGATCCTGAGGAAATGCGTTTATTGCAAAAGGATACAAGGGCTTTTGTATGGTGCTCCGAGTCAAAGTCAGCTACCAGAGTTTAGAGTTCAAGAGAAGCATGCATTTTCATCTGTGGGTATAGACTTCGCAGATCCACTGTACATAAAGTCCAGCTCTTCACCATCAAGGAAGGTCTATTTAGCCCTTTTCACGTGTGGGATTTCACGAGCCGTGCATCTAGAAGTAGTTCCAGACCTTTCTACAAGCGCCTTTCTTCATTGTTTGAAGAGATTTGTTAGCAGACCTGGAACGCCAAGTATTATCGTTACTGATAACGCCAAGACATTTAAGGCTGCTTCCAAACAATTACAGGCTATGTTAAAATCCACAGAAGTGCGAACATATTGCAATTCAAGAAGAATAAAGTGGTACTTCAATCTCGCTAAGGCACCGTGGTGTGGTGGGTTTTATGAACGGCTAATAAGAGGTTTCAAGTCATGTTTGAAAAAATGCATCGGACAAGCAAGGCTAACATACGACGAGCTTACCACAGTTGTGACGGAAATCGAGGCAATATTTATCTCAAGACCACTGACGTACCTTTACGAAAATGAGCTCGAGGAGGCTTTGACGCCATCACACCTACTCGTAGGACGAAGATTGTTAAGTCTATTAGAAACACCCCAAGAAGATGATGACGATGGTGGCTATGGCGAGCAAGATGATGTAGCTAGGAGAAGACAGAGGTATCTGAACACGGTCTTAGATAACTACTGGAGACGATGGAAGCGTGAATATTTAGTAGATCTTAGAGAATATCACCGTCTAGAGATTAAAAAGAGTCACGTTCCTGAAATCAGTGAAGGCGACATAGTTTTGATAGAAGATGAAAATCGCAAAAATAGAGCTACCTGGAAACTAGGAAAGGTCAAGGCCGTCAAGAAAGGGCAAGACGAGGTGATTCGAGGAGCCCGCGTACGTTTAGCTAATGGTAACTTCATCGACCGTCCGATTAAAAAATTGTACCCTATAGAAGTAAATCAAAGACGCACAGTTACCGAAGTCGAGGACGTAGATCACAAAACAGATGAAAGACCAAAGCGAAAAGCTGCCATGATAGCGAAGGAGCGAATCGATATTATTGACCAGCTCGACTATCTTATGTGAACCTTCAATGAACGCTGGCCAAAGGGGGAGTGTAGGAAATTTTGAGCGCTCCTTCCTATCTATCTATCTCTCTCTCTCTCTCTCTCTCTCTCTCTTTCTCTCTTTCTTTTGTATATAGTTGTTGTTGTTGCGATTGCATTCAGTTGAATAGAAGATTTCTTGCTTACGAACTTGAAGGGAACGACGTGAATTATATCTCAAAAAGAACTCTCGATAGATGCGAACGCCAGTCACGAGGAAAGAA